CTAGATATACTATTAAAAAAAAATCATCAACAAAAGCTACCAAGATCTGTCAGAACCAGTAGGCAAAATGAAGGCAGAGAGAATAGACCAATGGAGTTCCTTCATAAAAAGAACTCTAGAAAAGTCTTGGAAAATGCTGGAGCTAAAACTCAGAATTCTCATGTCAACATATCAAAAGAAAAAATATGACCTGTAAATGCCACAAGTATCCACAAAGAAGTAGGTCAAGTACCAAGGAACCACAGTCAGAATCACACCTGGCAGCCTTTATCATAAAGAGAGAACTTATAATACAATATTTCAAAAGGTAAAATATATAAACCCATAATCAAGAATATTCAACCTGCAAAAGAACTCTACCTAACCTCAGCTACACATAGAGATGGCCAAACCCTCGATCTTGCCATGACCCATATGTGTTCCCCTTCTGAGCTCATGAACTTTGAGATTCCTTTATTTGATCAAAATGTTGTTATCATTCCATCTCTCCTTCTGTCTTGTAGTGCCTAATCCGGTTCTTTGTTTTCACTGTTACCTCCAATTCCTCTAACTCTCAAGTTCTTCTCAGAATAGCTTAGCCTCTGCAAGAGAGATACTCTCCTCCTCCTTTCTCCATCTTGAGCTGTTGGTGAACCAGTTCAACACTACTCTGCTCTCTTCTCTCAAGTCTCTTAATCTAACAAAGAAATTGCCCTGCCAAGCTTCAGCTTTGGATCACTCCCACTATGCACTGTTTTTCCTTCCACTCACATGCTAGTGAACAAAGCTAGAGAAAATCATGAAACTATGTTGACTGGGTCAACTACAAATTTATGTTACATCATCTTAACCTGCTCTCATGGTGACAAGGCAATAATTTTACACCTCCCATTCACCACAGTACCTTTTCCAAACTTTCTGATCCCTCTTCAAACTTCCTATGCTTCTTCCTACCCTGCTCTCATAGCTGAAAACCTTGCCTCATATTTCATTGAAAAAACTGAATCAATTCACTAAAAGCTCCCCTTTCCCCCTTCATCATTTCAACAATTGCTTATATTAACTAACATACATATATCTATATTGCTTACTATATGCCAGGCATTGTCCTAAGTGCTTTACAATTACCATCTCATTTGATCCTCACAACCACTTTGGGAGATAGGTGCTAGTATTATCCCCATTTTAAAGATGAGGAAACTGAGGCAAACAGGTTAAATGGACTGCTCAGAGTCACACAGCTAGTATCTGAGGTCAGATTTGAACTTAGGTTTTTCTTACTTCCTAAGTGGCACTCTAGCTACTGCACCTCTTCACTGTTCCACTACTAATTTCTAACCCTAACGTTAACAGGTGGCCCTTTCTCCTTGTCAAAGCTAACCCCTCTGCATGCACAAGTTATCCCATTCCATTCTCTCTTCTCCATAAGACTGCCCCTTCTAGCATCCTCACTTCCTGTCTACTGGCCGATTTTCTACTGTCTAAGAACAAGCCCATGTCTTCCCCACCCTCAAAAATCTTAGCTTGATCCATCACCTCTAACTAAATCATCCTATCTCTCTTCTCTTTTGTGGCTAATATCCTTGAGATCGGGAGATCTCCAACTGTCATCACTACTTCCTTTCCTCTTAATTTCTGACCTCATCATTCAAATGAAACTATTCTCTCCAAAGTTGTCAATCTCTTAATAGCCAAATCTGATGGCCTTTTCTCAATCCTCACTCTTCTTGACCTCTCTACAGCCTTTGACATTGTTGATCATCCTCTTCTCTATACCTTTTCAGGACACTATTCCATCTCGGTTCTCCTGTCTGACCACTTCTTGGTCTCTTTTGCCAAATCTTTAGTCAGATCATGCCCATTACCCATAGTTGTTCCCCAAGCCTCTGTCCTGGGCTCTCTTCTCTTCTCTCTAGTCTATACTATTTTGCTTGATGATCCCATTAGTTCTTATGGATTCAATTATTATTTCCATGCAGATGATCCCCAGGATCTACTTATCCAACCCCAACCTTTTCTCCTGATCTCCAATCTAACATCTATTGGACATTTAGAATTGGATGCCCTGTAGATACCTTAAACTCAGTATGTCCAAAATTGAAGTTATTATTTCTTTCCCCCAACCTTTCTGTCTTCTTAATTTCCCTATTACTGTGGGCGGAAACCACCATTCTTCACGTCATCCAGGCTTGACTCTCCATTCTTCTCATCCTTCCCATATCTAAGTAGCTTCCAAGTCCTTTGATTTTTTACCTTTATCACATCTACCAAATATACCCCCAATCCCTACCTCTAATTGTCACTATTCTCATGCAAGCCATTATTACCTCATTGAGCTTTCTAAAATGTATATCTGATCGTGTCACACCCCTATTTAATAAACTTCAGTTTTATAATTCTCCGATCAAATTTGTTGGGCTTTTAAAGCCCTTTATAACTGGATCCCTTCTTAAATTTCCATAGCATTCTTACTTTCTCTATATACGCTGAGATCTGGTGACACACCAGCCTCCTTGCTGTTCCTCAAACATGATATTCCAATCTCTGGGCTCTGTACATTTTCATTGGCTGTCCTTCGTCTGGAACCCTCTCCCCTCTCAAGTTTCAACTCAATTCCCATCTTCTACAAGAAGAATTTCCCAGGCTTCCTTAACCTTAGTATTTTTCTTCCAAGATAATTTCCAATTTGTCCTGTATTTATTTTATTTCTGTTTGTATGTTCCCTCCCACATTAGGTTGTGAGCTTCTTGACAGCAGAAACAGGTGTTTTTGTTGTTCTTGTTTTTTGCCTTTCTTCATATTTTCAGTATTTAGCACTGTGCTTGTCACATAGTACTTAATAAATGCTTGCTGACTTGATCTCATTGCAAAGCTGAGTACAATCCTATTGGGGGAAAAATGGATCTTTAATGGAGTACTTTCAAGCATCTCTGATAAAAAGACCAGATTTGAGTAAGAACACTGAAATATGAAAACAAGAGTCCAGAGAAACCAAGAAAAGTAAATTTATTTGAGCAACTTAAAGTTGTATGCTATAGTGCTAACATCCTAATGGAAAGAAGAAACAAGTTTTCCTTTAGAACCTAAATATCTTCAAAGAGTATTGAAAGAGTTAAATGAGAAAAACAGGGGCCTTTGCTCTGAGGAATTAAAGAGGTTAAAGAGAATAAGAGAAATGCAAGAGTTAGCATAGAAAGGAAGAAGGGGGTAGAGCTTGCTATTTCTGGGGTATGTGAGGAGAAGATTTTTCAAAACCATGGAAGGAATGTGGGAAAAGTGGATCAGATCAATTTCCCTTCTATATCAAACTGACAAGGAAAAGTTGAACACACAGAGTGTTGTGTAGAAAAACAACAAGCTCAACAGGGAAATAGGTGGAAAAGGAGGTAGAAAGGTGGGGATGGGATAAAGAGGGAGTATAATATTGGACAATATAGAGTCGCAAGAAAACAAACTTCCTCAAAGGGGGAAAGAAAGGGGGAGAAGAAAGGAATCAAAGGACTCAAATCTAAGGGGGTGCTTTAGGTAGCCTCTTAAGACAATTGGAGAGTGGCTAAAAAAAATTGTTGCATATGCATATATAGTGGAGTTTTAATGGGTCACGAGAAATGATCAATGAGGATTTCACTGAAATTTAGGTAGTCTGAACAGATGCAGAGTGATGTGAGCAGAATAAGGAAAACAATTTATATAAGGACAGCAATATTGTAAAAAAAAATAATCACGAAACAAATTAAAACAACTTTGAAAGAACTGATCAATGTAACGTCTCTTCAGGGTCTATCATGAATAATACCCACCTTGGGACAGATGTGATAATTCTGGATGTGACTAGTGTGTGGAATAGTTTTTGACCAAGCTTATTAATACAAGGTTCCCCCTCATCCTCCCTTCTTTCTCTAGGTTTTTTATTTGGGGGAAGTGGTAGTTACCAATAGTGATGGGGAAAAAAAGGGGCTACTGGATCATTTTTAAAAATGCATAGAAGAGAACTGAAGTTCAGAAAGAAGGACAGATAAGCAGGGCAGTTTTGAAAGTAAGGCATAGAATATATTATATACTTTTTAAAAAAGCAAGTGGTGTAAAATGGAGATACACAATACAATATAGAATTCACTTTTTGTGTTCTGTCCTATGTACAGAAACGATCTCCTTTAGATGTTTAAAAGTTTAGAATTTTTAAAACTCAACAAATTATTTAACAAAAAGAAAGAAAGAAAGAGAAAGAAAGAAAGAAAGAAAGAAAGAAAGAAATTTACTCAGGTGTGCACTCATGCTGGAAAAAGTTAGTTATAATAAAACGGTTTTAAATTTTATATAAGAAGTGTTATTGGAGTACAGCATTACTCAATAGAAGTGTCCACAAGTGGCGGAAAAAAAAAGTTATTGAACTCCCTGAATTCCCCAAGCTGCCATAATTCTAGCCAAATTAAATCTCTTGTGCTTAGGTTAGAATTGTACTGATTTCCTAGTAGGATGTTTCTGTCTTCACTAGCATTAGCCCACTGACCCTGGGTTGATTTGCTTCATCTTTACCCTTACACTTGCATGAGTATGGATCATAATTTATCAAACTTGTTTCAGACTGGTTGCCTGAAGACCATCCTCAAGACATTCAAAGAGTAACTTGAATTTTTAAATTTTTTATGGTCCAGAACCAACTTCATCCCACTGATATCCCTAGTACTTGGAATAACTCGAGTTACTGTAGACAAGCAACCCATTCTATCCCCAAGAAAGGCCTAGATTAAACTTAATCCCAAGAGTTTTGGTGTGAGATAGATTAGTTTTGGCAAAGCAAAATAAAAATGTCTGGACTTAATGTGGCAGACTTCCTATTGGTCATTAGCAAAGCATCCATTACCAGCTATGGATATGAAACTGCTTTTCAACTACATATGGATATGGCAAGGGTAGCTATGGGAAACACTTTAAGGCATAGCTTGGAATAAAGGCAGGAAATACATATATCCTTAAATATACATAAAACATGTATTTAAATGAAAGAAATTCTACTATACCTGAATGGTGGGGCTGGGGGAAGAGATATTAACGCTGCTTTTGGATTTTCTAAAGAACAAGGGCTTAGGTAAGGCTGTATTTTCAAATTTCACAAAGTCATTTTCAGTCTTTAGCTTCTTTTTCTTCAGTGGGCTGAAAGTTGTGCTGCTTCCCTACCAGGAAAGAGAAAGAAAAAAAACCAAATCATGACCTGACAAAGGAGTTCAGTCAAATCTATGTATCTGTCAGGTAGAAAGTGACAAATCAGGATCCCAGTATAGACATCTAGCTGAACAGAGGGACAGCCCTAACTGTTCCAGCTGGGCTGTATTAACACTTTTGTCTCCCTTTTCACATTTAAAAAAAAAAAAAAGATTCATTGCTTTACTAGAACCCAAATTTCATATGCAAAGATTGTGTACTCTTCTGGCATTCCATTCACCCACAGAGCTGAGGTCATGTTGACTGGATAGTGAAGAAGTATTAAGATATTACTGATAAGAAGGAGGAATTCCTTTAGGGAGTTTTTGGTGAGTAGTTCCAGCAGATCTAATGCTGAGAGGACACAGGGGTTACCACTCTTTAGATACAACCCAATACCACCAACACATATACCTGAGAAAAGCGTGCCCTTCCCTTTACCTACAAACATATACCCCCTCACCTCCTAGACCCTGGCAGTCCTTTCTCCCACCAGTAGTGACCAAACTTCTTGAAGATGTTGTCTGTGCTTATTGCTCCTAGTCCTTAACTCTTTATGGTCTAGAAAATGGGTTGAGACTCCATATGGGGTTGCAACCCACAGTTTAAGAAGCACTGAAGGGGTCGAGAGTGGAAACAGTTTAAGAAGCCCTGGTCTAGATTAGGCTCTCCTCACAACTCTATTGAAAGGACTCTAAGCTAAGGGCTAAATCCAATGACCTTTCCTCAGTTACTCGTTCTATTTGACCTGCAGTATTAGCTACTATTACACCTCTGCGCTTTTCAAAACTTGCCTCTCTTTGCCTTCTCAGGGTAAGGCAGCACCCTGGTTCTCCTTCTTTCTTGGTTCTAACACTGACTGGTGGGAGGGAGGAGGGAGAAATAGAAATGGTGGTGGTGTTAAGAGTAGCTAAGGGCAAGGGGAAGGAGAAAATAAGGGGAGAGATAGAGAGGGAAAGGGAAAAGGAAGGACTGATTTAACCTGGGTTCAAATCTTGCCTCTAACATTTAACAGTTAAGTGACATTGAGCACATTACATAACCTCTATATGCCTCAGAGATTTGGTGCATTGTCACTCTGCATGGAGAAATTTACAGGTTGTCTTGTGAGGGATTTTTACATGTGTGTGCGTTTTTTTGACTAGATCTATGATTTCATCAATCAATTAACAACTATTTATTAAGTACCTACTATGTTCTAGGTACTGTGCTAGGTGCTGGAGATACAAATACAGTGTGTAGGGGCAGCTAGGTGGTACAGTGGATAGGGTACCAGTCCTGAAGTCAGGAGGACCTGAGTTCAAATCTGACCTCAGACCAAACACCTGACACTTACTAGCTGTGTGACACTGGGCAAGTCACTTAACCCCAACTGCCTAAAAACAAAACCAAACAAAACCAAACAAATACAGTGTGCCCCATTCCAGGCAGGGTAGGGGGCATGTGGAGAGGGAAGGGAGGAGGAGGGAGAGAATATGACCAGGGCAAAGTCACTGATATGGGAGATGGAGTGTCTTTTGTGAGGAACAGAGGAAAGGCCAGTTTGTCTGGACACAGAGGCTGGGAGGCAAGAGCAGTATCTGAAAAGATAGCTTGAGACCAGGTTGTAAAGGGATTTAAAAGAAAAACAGAAGAGTTGTTATTTTATCCTAGAGGCAACAGGAAGCCACTGGAGCTTACTGAATAAGGAGTACATCACCTCTATGCTTAAGAAAATCACTCTGAAGTGGAAATTGAGGGGATGTCCATCAATTGGGGAATGGCTGAACAAGTTGTGGTATATGAATGTAATAGAATATTATTGTGCTACAAGAAATGATGAGCAGGCAGACTTCAGAAAAACCTGGAAAGACTTGTATGGATTGATGCTGAGTGAAGTGAGCTGAACCAGGAGAACCCTGTACACAGTAACAGCCACGTTGTTCGATGACTAACATTGACAGACTTAGCCCTCTCAGCAATGCAAGGATCTAAGACATCTTCAAAGGTCTCATGATGGAAAATGCTATCCACATCCAAAGAAAGAATTATGGAGTTTGAATGCAGATCGAAGCATACTATTTGCTATTTTTTCTTCTGTTTTGTTTTGTTTCCTCTTTCTTGTGGTTCCTCCTATTGGTTCTAATGCTTCCTTACAACATGACTAATGTGAAAATATGTTTAATAGGAATGTATATGTATAGCCTATATCAGATTGTGCACCTTCTTGGGGGGGGAGAAAATTTAAAACTTAAAAGTTTATGGAAGTGATTGTTGATAAATCAAAATAAATTAATTAAAAAAAAGAAAAAAAAATCACTTTGGCAGCTTTGTGGAGGATGGAATGGAGAGGGAAGAAAGCAGATTTCTTCAGTGAGGAATGTTCCCAGACAACGCAGATCAACCCCTTCTCTGGGGCCCTGAAGGGTGAAAAGCCTGATTACAAAGCTAGTGTTCCACCTGCCATGCAAAGTTAACTCTCTCACAGACATGTGAGGTATCTACATACATATACATCAATAACTTGTGATTGCATTGCTGAGGGTATTCTCTCCAAGGAGGTAATTCCAACTTCTCTGACTTGGTAGATCTTTGAGAGCTGCTGTGGTTGAAAATTTTATCATTCTGTGTAGAAGTCAGAGTAGGAAGGTGACAAATAAGCCATTCTTGGGATTTTAATCTGAGGGTTTCAAATCAATTCAATCAACATTTGCTAAAGGCATGGATGGTACTGTGCCAGGTATCAGGGATTCCAAAAGTAGATTCTTAAGTAGTTTATATTCTAATAGTGGTATACAAAAAAATTATGATGTAACTGAAAAGTATAGGAGATAGTTCTAAGTTGACCACAGGCTTATAATAATAAAACGAAATAAACATTTCATTTATTGAACATAAAACAATCCAATCCCTCTCAATGACAATCCAGTCATTTCAGTGAATTACAGTAGCCAATTCACCATATTTTGCATGTAACGAGATTTCAGTCTGATGCTAAACCAGATATTTCATATCCTCACAGAGGCTGAAAAAGCACAACCACCTTGAAATTGTGTGCTAAAAAATGTGTTGGTATATCGTGTAAAAATGCCAAGTGAATGCCACAAATTACAATATTTAAAACAAGGCAATATTATTTAAAGAACAAGATTGAGGGGGCAGTTAGGTGGCGCAGTGGATAGAGCACCAGCCGTGAAGTCAGGAGGACCTGAGTTCAAATCCGGCCTCAGACCAAACACTTGATACTTACTAGCTGTGTGACTCTGGGCAAGTCACCTAACCCCAACTGCCTAAGCAAAAAAAACCCCAAAAAACCCCCAAAAAACAAAAACAAAAACAAAAAAAAAAACAAGAACAAGATTGAGGCCTTGTTTTTAGTTTACACCTGATATCTGTATATAGAATGCTAGGACCATTAAAAAAAAAAGAAGGCAATAAAGCCACCCACCCATCAACATGTTTTTTTTTCTTCCCATGTGCAGAAAAGACTCATGATTGGCTGAGTTAATGACAAAAAGTTAATGAGTTAACAGTTTTTAGTGTAGCTACACATTTGTATCATTTTATAGTCCATGGAGCTGTTATTATATTTTCATATGCGGTTATTACTAAGACTGATCTGTAAACTATTAGCTTGGTCCAATTACTACTTCACCCCAGAGGTCTATGGCATCTAAGAACCATGCCATAATAGCAAATACTCCAGAGAAAGCAAGGAAGCCACTCTGGAGAGTTAACTGGGATCCTGTAGGAATCAAACTCTACCCCCAAGAACATGTTTTTCTTACCACAGACTGGATTTTCTTCAGTTCAGCCTCCAAAGCTCCATTCGTTTCCACCAAGTTTAATACCTCCTTTATTTTCTTCCTCTTTTTCAGAAATGCAACTTTCTGATTGGGCAGGCCAATGGGCTCAAGGGTATCCAGCTTACCCTTTTTTTTCTTTAGCCTGACACTCTGGGTCAGGAGGGGTGGGCAATCCCCTTCTCCAGCTGGACGTTCTAGCAAACTTTCTCTCTCTGACCGAATTGCCACCAATGGGGATAAGCCATTGCTACTGACTGTCAGAGCCCCAAGTTTCCGCTTCTTTTTCACTATTTTGACCCCACCTGCTGGGATACTGCTGGTGACAGGCTCCTGGACAGCAGTACTACCAGGGCCATTTTGAACAGCAGAATCAACAGGTGGCATCCCCATCTCTGGAAGTTCTTCTAGGACCCTTAAACTCTTCTTTCTTGGCCTTTTTCTTTTGTTTTGTGTGTTGGTAGATGGGGGATGCTCCATGCCACTTTCCTCAGCTACACCAAAGGATGGTGCAACTGTTTCATTTTCAGGGGTACCTTTTTTGGGATCTTTTTTCTTACATGACTCTGGTTCACTGTTCCCGTTTGGTTCAGGGGCAATGAAGGCATCACCTGAGCCTGAGTTTTCAGGGTGGGAATTATTCTTCTTTTTCTTTCTTCGTTTTCTCTTTTGAAGGCTACATTCACTTTCTTCTTCAGCTGCATTGAATTTCTTTGGCTTGCACTGCCCTGCAATCAAATCAAATCAATAAAGAAGAGTATCAGTAAACAGATGAGACTCCAGATAGCACAGATTCTGAGGGAGACACAGAAGTCTTATTAGCAAGGAAGTTGTTTTTTTTTCTCTCTTGATACTACACTGTAATTCTGTGTGGTTGGCATTCGTCTTGTGAAAGAAACTCAGAGAAGCATTTGTGCTGGTATTCATACCACAAATGAAAACTGGAAATGTCTTTTTCTAGTTTGCCTCAGGAATAGCTAATGATCATCTTTCTTTAGAAAACTATAATAAAGATGCAACTATTTTCACAAATAAGTTTTCTCTGGGTGATTTTAATCTCCGATGAATTTTCTTGAAATAATAAAACCGGTAAATTCTATGCCCCCCCCCATATATATGAAATCTATCTAGTACTATCTTCTTTTTTTCTGGAAATGAATAAATAAAAAATATGAGCAGCTTCCACCAACACCTGGAGTAAAACTTTAGAAATGATTTCCTTGTTTTTCCCACCATCTTGTAACTAAAAAATTTTATCTTTACTATGATAAATAACAGTTAATCAAATACAAATGGGCATGATGGATCTGGGTGTGGTACAATGAAAATGGCACTAGATTTGGGGTCAGAAGACCTTGTTTAAAACTCTGTTCTGGCATTTATCTTTCTGACTGTGGGCAAGTCATCTCATCTCTGTGGGTCTCAGATTTCTGATCTGTAGAATGAGGTTAGACAGATGATTTCTAATTTCTCTTCCAACTTTAAAAATCCTAGGATCACTTTCCTACCTTGTGCACTTCATTTTGGTTTTTAAGTTTTACAGCTTACCTTTTTCTTTTTCTAACTTGGCTTTCTCTTTAAGTTTATTTCTTTTTTTCTTACGCCTTCCTCGACTAAGGGTGTGGTCATCTTCATCTGTAGAAATGTCTTCAGGGAGATTGATTTGAGGGAAAATGCCTGCCAGAGACAAAGTCACATACATCAATAATGCTATTTCCCTAAGCACAGAGCGCTAACGTTAATTCATGACTCTCAAGACATTGCATTCCACCCTACTTTTCTCCTGAGAGCCAGCATTCCCCTCATTTACAAAGCAACATATCAGGAGGAAAACAATTTCATGGACTTGTGAACCAGTGAGGATTAATAATCTTAAGAAAACTTTATTCCTGCAGTAAACAATCATACAGCTCAGTCCTAAAATCCAGAGGGACCACACTTGAGACTGAACAGGTAACATTAGTCTTTATACTTGTCAAACCTTTTTCCAGACATGGTATAATTTTTGGACTCGCATACAGCAAACATGATGGTTTTAATGATGCAGCCGCTTTATTCCTTGAAATTTTTTTTTGGTTTCTTTTAGGCAATTGGGGTTAAGTGACTTGCCCAGGGTCACACAGCTAGTGTCAAGTGTCTGGTCTGAGGCTGGATTTGAACTCAGGTCCTCCGACTCCAGGGCCGGCACTCTATCCACTGCACCACCGAGCTGCCCCTATTCCTTGAATTTTTGAGATCATAAGCTTTTTTCCCCTTCCTCATCCACTCTTTCCAACGGAACAATGAATAATTTACAAATCTCTGGAAGAAACTTTGAAAGGTAATCCTTTTCCCCTAAAGACAGAACCAAACCTAAACCATCCTAAACTAATAAAAACTGACTTTGTTCTTAATCAGAGCCCCAAAAAAGTAGACTCTAAATATTCTATGGTATTTCTTAAAAATCAGGTCTCTCTTCCTGAAACATGTAAACTGATTCCTGATGGTGGTAAAATGCTAGACATTATTATGGTATAAGGCTTATGAAAAGTTATTAGGCCATGTTGAAATAGCCACATTACAACTAGAAGTAATAATTCAGTTTTTTAAAAAGAAACTGATTACTTATAGAATACTGTGCAAGTTTAGTTCAAGTCTTACCTTCAGATAAATCTTGAAACCTGAAGAAGAGAAAAAAAAATTTAAGATGAGTCCAGTGTCATAGGTAAAAAACAAAACAAAACAAAATCAAGATTCCATTTTAGCAACACGGTTATTTCCACAATTGCCAAATTCCAATTTCCCCTAATTTTTTTTTTTTTAAAAGCAGTGGGTAGGGTCTGAAAGGAGATGGGAAGAAGAGTTGGAAAAACAAACCAACTTTTTTTCTCTGGCACCAATCTTCTCATCTTTATCATAAAAGGGTATAAACAGTGGTGCTCCAAAGACCTTCTGAAACAAGCTAGTCACTCAAAAAATAAATCTACTAAAGAATTCCGGATTATTTTTTCATCTGTTGGTTGTAAACAGCATAACCAGGGACTTAAGAACTTTATTTGAGAGCCATAATTATATTGCTGAAATTCACAGCATACAAAAGAACTGACAGTAATTCTGCACTGTGTTAATTAAGCCAGGGGGTCCTGGGAGTTAAAGAAATATCAACACCAAGTTTTCCAATTACAGTTAAAGAGGACTTACTTTTTGACTAGTTTAGAGAGACGTCTCCTGTTGAAGGGTGGTATGTTTTTTCTGCTGGTCACTTCTAGGAGTCGGTCAGCAACAGCTTTGTAGTCAAACTATTTAAAAGGAAAATTAACCATAAAAATAGAAAAATCCTACCTCTGAACTTAAATATAGCATTGGGAAGGCCTTTAGATGAATAAAAATGAGAATGAAAGAAAGACTCAGAAGCCTTAGGTTTCAATCTCAGCTCTTCCTTTTAACAGCCAGTAATTATAGTTATTTAATTTCTCTGGGCCTCAGTATCATCACCCAATTCAATAAACATTTATTAAGCAAATGAAGAACAGGGGATACAAAAACTGAAGAAAAATAGTTGCTGTCCTTAAAATGCTCACAAATTTCTGAGGGGATTAATATGGATGCAGGTAAGTTAACATATTTGTAAAATATGGAAGTTGGATTAGTTAATCTCCCGGATTACTTCCAGCTCTGAAATTTAATACTTGCCTTGCTTAATCTGAAATAGCAAAACTTTTAGAAAGGAACTGGCAGGGTTTTAATGTAAACTAAGTATTGGGGGAAACTTGCCTTTTCTTTTTCCTTGGAATCCACAAATGTAGAATTTTAATTTAGTAATATCTGAAACTTGATTATAATGGTTTAATTAAGTTATTAAAGCTTTTGAAACTGAATACTCAGTAATGTTTAATAGAACATAATTAAGCAAGTCTAGTTTCATTTTTTTTTTTCAATTTCATGGCATCATTAAATGAACTCTTTTCACAAATGAATGTCATAGGGAAATTAAAAAAGGAAAACAGACTTCTGGTCAAGATGACTGCCTAGATATTGGGCATAAATCAATATTTTAAACCATGCACCAAGATAAAGTCAAAACGGATACTTTACCTAGATACAAAGGGAGATACCACAAGAAAATTAGGAGAACATGGAACATATTACCTATCTGACTCATGGATAGGAGAACAATTTATGAATAAACAAGAGATAGAAAGCATTGTGATGTGTAAAATGGATAATTTTGATTATATTAAATTAAAAAGTTCTTGTACTAATAAAATCAATGTACCAAGATTAGAAAGAAAACAGAAAATTGGCAGGAAAAGCTTCATAGACAATCTGCCAGACAAAGATTTAATTTCTCAAATATATAAAGAACTTTGTCAAATTTATAAGAATACAAATCATTCCCCAATTGATAAATGGTCAAAGGAGAACAGCAGTTTGTCAACAAAGAAATCAAAACTACAGTCATGTTAAAAAATGCTATAAATCATTATTGATGAGAGAAATGCTTAAACAACTATGAGATATCTTACACCTATCAGATTGGTTAAAATGACAAATGCCCTTCAATTGGGGAATGGCTAAACAAGTTATTTGCATTTAACTACTGTAGCCTTCTCTAGGGCGGGGTAGAGAGAGAGAGAGAGAGAGAGAGACTGGGCGCCGCCCCCCCCCCCCCCTCCACACAGAGAAGAACAAAAGAAAATTTAAAAGGATCCACAGAAAAGCTGGGTAGCTTTGAAAACAATGTGTAGTATTTATTATGTAGTTTTTCCAAAAAGAGTAAACAGTCTGAAATTGAAATCTATAGTTTTATATTGAATCCTCTCATTTATGTTCTGCTGTGTACATGGAACCGTTTTCTTCCCTCTCGTTTTGCATTTAAGTTTAAAATGAAAAAAAAAAAAAAAAAAAGACTTCCTGAACACAGGCTCTAATACATCTAATCCATCCAATATATAATACATAATAATACATCCCAGATCTAATACATCTATTGCAGCAAAAACATAAAATTTGTAGCAGACTGAATAATGATTAAAATAAAATACGATTAAAAACTACACTGAGAGATTTCTTCCACTCAGAACTTGACAAAAAGTCCAATGGCAAGAAAAAGGTGCCAACGGCATAGGCAAATTAGCCAGCAGTCTCCAATGGGAGCAGAGATGTCAGATTAGAGACACTTGGATCCTGAAAGGCTCTGAATCCAGAGCCCTATGACAGTTGGAAACCTACAGCAGAAACCATGGAACAGTAGGGAACAGCAGAATGAATGGAGCAGTGCTCAGACTCGACAGTCCAGGAGCCCAGAGATTCTGAGGTTCTAACACTCCATCCTGAGGTGCCAAAGAACTCTGGTTCTTATCCTGGAATCCATGAAAGTCTTTCTGAAAATATTTTTATAATTGATAATTTGATAAGTGTTTTGATAATTGATAATTTGGTAACTGATAGCTGGTTTTTGTTGCAATCTTATGAATTTTATGTTATGCATTTAAAACAGTTATTCTGAGAAAGGGTATATTAGGCTTTAAAGACTGTGCATGATAACAATAATGATGACAGCATTTATATTTCACTTTAGACTCTTTATAAATGTCTTTATAAATATTATTTCTTTTTTGTCCCTACAACCAAGCTGGAAGGTATGCATTATTATTATTATTATCCTTATATTAGAGATGAGAACACTGAGGCAGACAGAGGGTAAAGTAACTTGCCCATGGCCATACAGCTATAAAGTTTCTGAACCCGCATTTGAACTTGTATCTTCCTAACTCCAGGTCCAGTACTCTATCTGTAGTACCACTTAGCTGCCTCATGACCCAGAAATGGTTAAGAGCCCCTATCAATTTTTGTTCAGTCATTTCAGTCACATCTAACTCTCTGCAAACCAATTTGGGGCTTTCTTGGCAAAGATACTAGAGTGGTTTGCCATTTCATTGTTCAGCTCCTTTTACAGATGAGGTAAATGAGACAAACAGGGTTAAGTGACTTGCCCAAAGTCACAGAGCTAGTAAATGTCTGAGGCCAAATTTGAACTCAGGAAGATGCTTCTTCCTGACTTCAGGTCCAGAGCTCTATCTACTGCACCACCTAGATGCCCTAACCCTTATCTAAGAGGACCCTTAAGTTTTAGCATGTTGAAACTACAAGAGTCATAATTCAAAGCAGGAATGTTAATAGCGAGCATTTACATAGCACTTTTAGGTTTGCAAAGCACTTTATAAATATTATCTCACTGGATCCTCAGAACAATCCTGGGAGCTAGTAAGTGCTCTCCATTTTACGGAGGGGAAATTGAAGTAGGAGTTAAGTGACCTGCTGAGGGTGCCAACTATTAAGTGTCTGAGGACATATCTGAACTCATGTCTTCCTGAGGTCTAGTGCGCTATTCACTGTGCCATCGAGTTACCTGAAATAGACCAAGAAGGGCTGACCACCCAACACAAAAGGGCAGAAGAAGGGGGAGCCTGGACTTTGCAAGTCCCAATTCAGGAAATAAGACTAGAAAGATGCATAAACCAAAGAAAACTTCCAACCAGGAAAATGAACAATGATTGCAAATCTAAAAAATCCCCCTAAAGGAAAGAGTAACTTTGTAACAAGTGCAAGAAGAAATTCAAAGGAAAAAATGGATTTTCTGTAAGGACCACATGAATGCCTAGAAGAAATGAAGCAAGAGATTAAAAAATAAAATAACTGGGAAGAACTGGAAGAAGAATAAACAGGTTAGAAAAGAAAATGTGTGAACCTTACCCAAGAAATGGGACTCTCTGAAAAGCAGAATAAACCATACGGAAATCAATGAATCCATGAAACACTAAGAAATATTAGGAACCCCCCCCCAACTGGGAAAAAATGGAATAAAATATAAGCTATCTAATTATCCAAAAAAAGACCTGGAAAACAGATTGAGGAGGAAGCAAAAACAAAAAACAAAATAACAAAACAAAAATCATCTCACTACCTGAAAGCCATGACCAAAAAGGGGCCTGGATATCTTATTAAAAAAAAAATCATAAAAGAAAGGTAACCAGATCTGTTAGACCCAGAAGGCAAAGTGAACACAGAAAGAGTATACCAATGAATTTCTTCGTAAAAGGAACTCCAAATGGAAAGTACCCTAATACTGGTGCTAAAATTCAGAACTCCCATATCAACATGTCAAAGAAAAAATACAAGTATCTATAATGAAATAGGTCAAGTGTCAAGGAACCAAAGTTAGGATCACATAGCACTTGGCAGCTTCTACCAAATGATTAGAGGAGAACTTTGAATACAATATTCCAAAAGGCAAAAGATATAAGCTTACAACCAAGAATAATTTAACCTGGAATGGAACTGTATCTCACCTCACCTACAAAAAGAGACGGTCAAATCCTTCATCTTGCCATGACCCACAGATGCTCTACTTCCATGTTCATGGATTTTTAAATTATTTTATCTGATCATAATTTTGAGACACTAAAGAATTTTCATTAATGCCAACTATATGTCTTGAGAGATAGATATTTCTGGACATGGCTATGGTCTTGTTTTGTTTTTTTGTTTTTACTATGTGTTATGGGATTTACTTTTCCTTCTAAGTTTTTAATGGGGAGGTGGTTTAGTGACTAACAATATAGCTAACATTTATAAAGTGTTTTAAGGTTTGCAAAGGGCTTTAGAAATATTTTTAAAATATTTAATATTAATATTAAATATTAAAAATATTTTCATTTGATCCTCACAAAAAGGTATAGGTACTGTCATTTTAGAGATGAGGAAACTAAGGTAGAGAGAAGTTAAGTGACTAGTCCAGGGTCACTGGATTTGAACGTGGGTATTCCTGATGCCAGGTCTAGTTCTCTATCTACTGAGCCACCTAGCTGCCTACTGATTGGTTAGCAAGTGATACCAAAAGGAAAAAAAAAAGCCACTAAAACATTTTTTAAAACGTATAGAATAGAAGGTTTAGAAGGAAGCAGAGACAAGCAGGATTCTTTTGAAAGTAATGTCTATAATTTATTACATACTTTATGAAAAAACTTTTTGCTGTTAAAAATTATTTTAGTTTTTAAATTATTTAGTTTAAATTTATTTAGTTTTTAATTGGAATTAAAAAATTTAAGAGAGGGAATATTGCTTAATTGGATCTGGCTCTGAATCAAATCAAGTAAGCTAATAACTTCCAGCTTCTTAACGGTAAATCTATATACTGTGTAATATGAAAAAAGCCACCAACCTGGAGAAGTGGACTTGTGTCTTCAGAGATACCATCATCATCCTTTTCCTCTTCAACATTCCATCCATCTCTTCTTGTTGAATATTTGCCTACTGCTGGCAAAACAAATCCGAGATATTTTACAAAAGGCTTGAAATATCAAGTACCTAAGAATTACCATTTGTAGAGGAACCTAATAATTCAATCAGAAAATTGATAGCTTTTAATGATTGTTTAAAATTTCCCAAAGATTAAAATTTTTCCAATTGTTCAGCCACTATGGCTACAGGCAAGATAGAGATATCACATACATTTCTTCCTTTCTTTATTCAGCCTGACTTTCTACATAAGCAGCTGAAAATACACTATCACAAATTCCCTCCTTTAAATATTTCTATAGTGCATATAGATAAAGGAAGAAAGAAAACAAATATTTATTAGGCGCTAAATTACAAGCACTGTGTCTAAGTACTGGGGATATAAATACAAGCTAAAAGAAAGACAATCTCTATCCCCAAAAAGCGCTTACATTCTAATGACAGGAGATAACCTGCAAAAGGGAGGCAAGAAGGTGTCAGATGAGGGGGAACGTGACTTTGAAGTCCAAAGGAAGCTAGGAACAGGGCCTGGAGGAGAATAAAGACAAATCAGTGTTGGTCCCTCCACAAAATGCAGCCTTCAGGAAGCACTCACCAATAGGCCTTGTAGAGGTATACTTCTGGTGAGTGAAAACGGGGGCCAGGGCACTTGGAGAGAGGAAGGCTGTTTTAGGTGTGGAGGTTTCCCAGACATGGAAGTAAATACCAGGCAGCAGTAGAGAGGATATGGTTCTGAATTTCAGATAAAGTCAGGTTTTCTCCTCTCTCCCACATTCATCCTGCTAAAAGTGCATCTGAAGTCTTAAGGTTATAGCCAAGTGTAACTCCCCAGCAAAAATTTTAAAAGTTCAGAGATGAAGCAATGATCAATAAAACCAAAGTGAAAAGCTGGAAAACTCCAGTGCAGGGCTGCACAAGAAGATGATTACCTCATTATCTTTCCCCCCAAATCCTCCCCTCTTTTTAATTTCTTTATTTCTATTAAGGTACCACCATCCTCCCAGTCACCCAGGCTTACAATCTAGTTGTCATTCTCAGCTACTTACTAAATCATCTCCTGCCCCATTATCCAATGTGTTGCCATGTCTTGTTTCTACATTTATAACATCTCTACTATTTGCTCCCTTCTCTTCACTCACACAGACACCACCCTGGTTTAGATCTAGATTAGTTAAAAAAAAAAAAAGTTTTTACATTACATTTCAAACTTTTTTTAAATTCAATTTTCGGGCCTGAATTCTCTTTCCTCCCATCTTTCCCTCTCTCTCACTGACAAAAAACAAAACCTGTTGCAAACACACATAATTAAGAAAAGAAATTCCTGGATTAGCTATGTCCAAAAAACCTCCACGTTTCAATTTGCATTCTGAGTGCATTATCTCTGGAGGTGGACAACATGTATCATCATGAGTTCTCTGGAACCATGGTTGTCATTTCATTGACCAAAGTTCCCAAGTCTCAAAACTGTTTGATTTTCCAATACTGTTTTTCTCCTGCTTCTGCTTACTTCACTTTGCAATTAGTCCAAACAAATATTCCCAGTGACCATTCCAGTGCTTCATTACATTCACATCCCATAATTTAACTGATGGACTCCTCCTACCCCCCACTCCTCAGTTTCCATTTCTTTTATCACCATGGAAAAAGCTGCTATAAATATTTTTGTACATCTTTTTAGGGTATAGACCTAGTAGCAGTATTACTGGGTCAAAAGGTATGCATAGCCTAACTACTGCAGTGGCCTGCTAGTTGGACTCCTTGTCTCAGGTCTTTCCTTACTTTCATTAAACTGAAAAAGTGATCTTTCTAAAGCAGAGATCTGACCACGTCCTTCTTTCAAAAAACTCTAGTGGCTCTCTATTACCTCTAGAATCAATGATAAAGTTCTTTACAATCTGTTCCTTCCTTCCTTTTCAGTCTTCTTGTACTTTATTCTCCTCCACATACTCTATAATCTAGTGATGCTGGCTTTCTTACTTCTCTTCACTCAAGACACTTCATCTCCTGACACCATGCTGTTTTGTTGGCTGTCCCTAATGCCAGAATATACTCCTTCCCCACCTGCGCTTCCTGGCTTTCTTCAAGACTCAGCTCAAATCCTACCTTCTACAAGAGACCCCTTCACTGCTTTTGCACTCCCTCTAAAATTACCTCTCATTTTTACTATATATGCCTTGTATGCACAATGTTGTTTGCATGCTGTCTCCCCTATTAGATGGTACAAGCTTCTTGAGAGCAGGGACTGGGGTATCAATTATACATGTGAAATAAGGCAAAATATATTTCCATATTATCCATGTTGCGCAAAAAAAAAAAAAGGCAGAAAAAATAAAGTGAAAAAATTATGCTTCAATCTGCACTCTGACTCTATCAGTTATTTCTCTGGAGGTGGACAGACAGCATTTTTCATCTTAAGTCCTTTGGAATTTTCTTGGATCACTGCATTGGTCAAAACAGCCAAGCCACTCACAGTTGATCATTATACAAAATTGCTGTTTACTGTGTACAATGTTCTCCTGGTTCTGCTCACCTCACTCTGCAATCACTTCATGTAAGTCTTCCCAGGTTTTTCTGAAACCATTCTGTTCATCCTTTTTCATAACACAACAGTATTCCAACACGATCATATACCACAACTTGTTCAGCCATTCCCCAACTGATGGGCATTTCTTCAATTTCCACTTCTTTGTCACCACAAAAAGAGCTGCTTAAATATTTTTGTACATAGAGGTCCTTTTCCTTTTTCCTTGATTTCTTTGAGATAGAGATCTAGCAGTGGTATTGCTAGGTATGCAGAGTTTTATAGCCCTTTGGGCACAGTTCCAAATTTCTCTCCAGAATGGCTGGACCAGTTTCATAATTCCACCAATAGTGCATTAGTGTCCCAATTTTTCCACATTTCCTCCAATATGTTTCATTTTCCTCTTCTGCCATGTTAGCTGATCTGATAGGTCAGAGGTTGTAAGTAAGAGTTTTAATTTGCATTTCTCTAATCAGTAGTGACTTAGAGAATTTTTTTTATATGACTATAGATAACTTTGATTTCTTCTTCTGAAAACTGCCTGTTCATATCCCTTGACTAATTATCAATTAGGAAATTAAGTAGAATTTTTGAAACACAAACATAGAAGACAAAACAAACCTAGTACTTTCAAGGAAGCTGAGTGGGTTAAATAATGAACAAGTTTACATTCTAATAGGGAGAGAAGAGACAGGTCTCCCTTTAGAATCCCACTTCTTCAAGATTCACAGTGAGTACAGAAAGACAAATGCAAGGCTTAGAGGTGGTTTCAAGAGAAGAAATAAAAGGGAAGGAGAGAAAGGAATACATAAAGACAAAAATGAGGAAGAATAGGGAAGAATTTACTATTTCTCATAATTGGATCCAAGATAAAAGTTTATAAACATAGAGAAGGGAGTGGGCATCCATCCCATGAACCTCACTCTTATTTAAAGTGGAAAAAGACAGTTGAACACATACACACAATATAGTGTAGAAATATAAGAAATTCAACAGGAAAATAGATGGGGATGGAGAGAGGGGAATTTAAGAACCAGTGATTGGGGGATGTCACTAACGTGTGGGTAGAGAAGTGGGATAAGACTACAATTACAAACTACTAATGTTGATCCTATTTCTTTTCTTTCTCCACTTTTTTGGGGGGAGGGGAGAGATAGAGGGGAGAAAAGGTCAAAGAGGGGAAAAATTATTAAGAGTATATGATGGAAGAAAATAATTGTGAATGTGAATGGGATGAACCTCACCCACAAAATGAAGAAGGGTAGCATAATGAGTCAGAAAAAGGAATCCAATAATATGTGGAAACATTTGAAAGAAAAATTCACAGAGAATTAAAATGACTACATAAAAAGAAAAACAAAAACAAAACACTAAGTTGTTAATACAGTTTGACCTCAAGATACCATTATTATACATATAACTCCTAACAGATAAAATAAAAGAATTTATATGTATACAAATATCTAAAACAGCACTTTTTATTGTAGCAAGAGGCATGTCCATCAATTGAAGAAAGGATAAATTACGGTTTAAGAATATAATAGATTATTATGCTGTAAGAAATGATGAAAGAGATAGATTCAGAAAAACCTGGGAAAACCTGCATGAATTGATGAAGAGAAAGATGAGCACTTTAAACAATGACTATGATAACATAAAGGAAAATGACTCCACAAGATTTCAAAATTCTGGGTAACAGAATTATTAGAGTAATTTTCAAAATGTAAAAGAAAACAATGTGAAATGACAAGAGAATTCCAATTAATGTAATAATTAATCTCGATCTCAGAAAGTGTTAAAGGCTGAACTGAATTCAGTAAAGATGAGGATTGAGAAAAGGACATTAGATATGGCAATTAAGAGATCACTGGTAATTTTGTAAAGAGTTTTAGTTGAATGATTAGGTCAGGTGCTAGACTGAAGAGAGTTAAGAAGAAAGTTAAGAGGAAAGAAATTTCTGAAATAAACTTGCTGTCCATTTACAATGCTTGTTATTCATGAGATATGTGTACTAGTGGGTTAATGCAACAGATTATCTACCCATACAACTACCTGTCACAGTCATCTGAACAGGCATTCTTCATAAATTTACCTTTCCCCCAAGGACTGTCAGGCTGATTTCTTCTGAGTGATCACATACCTCAATTGAGGCCAATTAGTATTTGCGGATTAATTAAATAATCACAGTATCATCCACAAAAAGCAGCATCTGGAGGATAACTATGGGAATTCCTCTTTGTGGACTCTGTAAAATATTCTCCAGAAAGTGAAAGAAACCCTTGGAGAGCAACTATCTCCCTGTTTTATAACTGATGTTTATAATTAATGATGATGTTTATAATTAGAGGACTACTGAATAAAATTATCTTTCTGGTTACATCTCCCATCTTACATGATCTTAATATATACATAATAATAACAACAATAATAGATAACATTTACATAGAGCTTACTATTTGCCAAGCACTGTGCTAAGTGCTTTACAATTATCATTTGATCCTCACAACAAATCTGGGAGGTAGGTGCTATTTATTATCCCCATTTTACACACGAGGAAATTGAGACAAACAGATTAAATAACTTACCCAGGGTCACAGAGTAGTAAGTGTCTGAGACCAAATTTGAACTAAGGTCTTCTTGACTTCAGGCTACATCTTCCAGACTCTGAGGCTGATATAGTTCAGTTACTTTTAATCATTGGACAAGAATTTTAGCAATGGTTAAAGTAATGTTTATACACAGTCTAAAAATTTTGATTCTTATCACCTAATACTTTCTTTATTCTACTATCACTAACAGAAAAAGGAGGCTACACAGGGTTGAAAGCCTTTTTGTATTTGTCTTTGTTTCACAAGTTGTGAAACCCAAGTAATTTATCACCTAATAGCCAGCCTACGTGGGGACGTTCTTCACTGTTAGACAGGTTGGCTGTTGGATAGCAGAGAGGGTGCATCACTAGGATCATAACCCAAAGCTTTTCTAGTCTGATAGAATGTGTTCAGTTGGCATAGCCTTTAGAACCCAGGGGTTTACTCCTAGAACACAATGAAGCATCAGAGTAAGGCTTACGTGGAACACAGATTTCACTAGTGTTCTATTATTTCTCACTCTAAACCTGGCAATATCCCTTTCTTAACAAGAAGTCAACATAAACAGAATTTTTCAACCACATAGGTTGTCCCTTCCTGCTACCACTATAAACACCCCCTTCTCCCACCCCTAAGAGAACTTTTTGGAAGAAGACTATTTTTCCAGCTTTTAGTTTATATAATCTCTTTCACATCCTACTTGGATATGGTACTTGGAAAAGATGGCACATAAACAAATTTCATACACCTACCATACTTAAATGTTCTCTCAGGAAATAACTTAAGAACCTAAGACTAAAGGATGATTATCTAAAGATAATGAAGTCTGAATTACTTGCAGTTCCCATTATTAAAAAATTTCATAAAGATCACTTAGCTCTTCACCTAAGTTTTTCATATAAATAGGAATAATATGACTTAAAAGTGCTGGTATGAATAATGAAAATCTAGTATCAGTAACAATGAGGGATGTCCAAAGAACATTAAAAAAGAAATGTTGGAAATATGTGTAAGGCCAGGTTATAACATAACTATGCACACTGTAGCCTAGATGGATATAGTATAGCACTGTCCTTGGTATCAGTGTTTTATACTGAAAATGTGTTAAGGACCTTCCAGTCTTAGAATTCATTATGTCTCCAGCAAATGTATAAAAGGCAGTTTAGGTTGATACTTAATGAGTTTCCACCTTGGTGGCTTGCAGTCAAGAAAATCTGGGTTTGAAATCCTGCCTGATATTAGTTCTAGGGAAGTCAATCTGAGAATCAGTTTTCTCATCTGTAAAATGGGAATAATAATAGCATCTCCCTCACAGAATTTTGAAGATTAAATGATTAATGTAGGTAAAAAGCTTTGTAAACCTTAAAGTACTAAAGTTAGCTTTTAATATGCAAGTGAAAGTTTAAGACATTCCTTACCTGGTTTCTTTTTAGTGACTGCTTTTTTAGATGTCAACTCATTATCAGATTCTTCCTCCTCAGACAGCTCGCTGTCACCATTAGTTTTCTGTTCTTCCATTAAATCTTCAGGGGCAAAGGGGGATTGATCTACAATGACTTCAAAGATTCTTCTAGCTATCGTTTGTACCAAGGTATGGCTGAGGATGGAAGCATAAGGAAAATAATGAGATTAAAATTAATGAGACCTATTGTACAAAAATGATTAAATTTCTGATTCTGACTCGCTTTGTGTTTAAGGTTAGTCAGTTGGTCAACAAGCATTTGAATGACCAACTACAAAGAAAAATTCACTTACATATTAACCAACCATAGTGATAAAAGCACTAAGTGACCAGTAAAATGTAACAGAAAACAGATGGCAATAGACAATGGCACTGATTGCTTGAGTGATTAGAAACAGGTTTAAACTAGCAGCTAAACTATCAGTAAAAACTTTAGTGTCTAACCAATTGATATTTCAGATTTGGTTGTCCTTCCCTTCAACTAACAGCTACTCCTCACACTTAACATAGCACTTTAAGGTTTATAAGGACCTCCTGCATAACAACCTTGGGAAGGAGGGAGTGCAGGTATTATTGTCATTTTGCAGATGAGGAAACATACTCAGAAAGGTTAAATGATGTGCCAGAGTCACAAGACTATGAAGTGTTTACAGCTGGGACTGCAAGGCCAAGGCCAGCACTCTTACCACTTCATGATACACGACCTCTTATAAACAAAACAGGAAGATGACTGACTATATGATGGTCTTTTCTTCTCTCCCCCTTCCCTTCCCAATAAGGAGAATTTGAAGAAAAGTTATACACAAGGCAATAAACGTAAGTTTTACTCCTTAGTTACTTACTCCTTAGTTTTAGCTGCGATCTTGCAGAATGGATCAATAAACTTGAGATTCTGATCTGCCACAAGCTACAATTTAAAAGTATGAGGAAACAAGAAATAAGAACAAAGAAAATAGTTTTTGTTTCTTTTTCAAACATGTTGCAGGCAGTAAGCTTTTTGGGAAACACTTTAAGTGAACGACTGAAGCATTTCAACATTGTTTGACTTAGAATTTTAAAAAGTTATTTCTATATTAACAGGAGATACTTTTTTTATGCACGTGTCCTCAAAGCTACCTTGATCATTTAGCTGCCATGCCATGGCTCCAATATTCAAAGCCAGGAGCTAGAGAAATTCTGACCTATAAAGTCACTGATCTTCTAGCCAGAAAGTTTCTGAACCCAGCTATCTGGATTATCAATGTTATGTTACGAATGGAGACTATAAGAAACTTGGTTAATTCTACACCAGAAAAAATTTCATTTCTTAAAGGACAGTTTCACATAAATATAAACATCACAATATCAAATAAATATAAAGTAATGTAACTTTAAAAACATACCAGGTTATTTCAGTTACCTGGGTGGCTAATATAGTTGCTTCACCAGCAATACAAACCACAAACAAGATGCTGGCCTTACCTCTTTCGCTCCTACTTTTGCTAGTTCATCTAGGTAGATGTCAATGAAGTGAAATTTCACTCCATTAGGAGAATTACTCTCTGGGTGCAGAATTTCCTTCATCAAGACATCCAGAAAAAGCTTGATCCGGCTGGTGAAAAAGAACCACAACCTAATTATTTCTCAACTATTTTATGTGTTATAGTTAAAAGTTGAAAACAATTGTCAAACAGCTCAAAGTGTTATTTTCTTTTTGGTAACAACCATAAAAACTCATATTTCAATCGATTAACAACTATTTTATTATGTACTTTTATTTATTAAATACTTTTTAAAGTACTTTATTAGGTATTAGGCACTATGCTAAATATGTTAATAAACAGAGATATATACAAAGTATTTAAATGTAAGGTAGTTTGGGACGGAGGACACTAGTAGTTGGAGGAATTAAGAAAGGCTTCATGCAGAACATGGTGACTGAAATGCAATTTATGGGAAGGGGAATTTAGGAATGAATATATTCCAGGCACAAAGGTCAGCCAGTACAAAGAAATGGAGATAGGAAATGGATTGTCATGTATGAGGAACAGAGAGGCAAGTTTGGCTGGACCACATGGCATGGGAAGAGGAGTAATGGCCAATAAGGCTGGAAAGACTGGTTGAGGCCCAGTAGGATAAGGCTTTACCTAGATGTTAATTTTCTTTTCATATTTTTCTTCCCTAGCTCTTTTCCCATTCTTTCCTCTAACTCTTACTTGGTTTTTAAAATATTTTTACTTCCTTCTAAGAATGCTTCCTGGACTTGTATTCAAATTGAATTTTACTTTGAGGCTTTGCTTACATATTTTTATAGACTCCTTCCCCAGTGTCTTTCTACCTAAACTTACTGTGACTTCTTGGTTTCCCAATTAGAATTATTCTTGTGCATTTTCTAGATCTTTGTTGAGGAAGCTGGGTGTGGTGGTTGAGCTATGTTAAGTGTTTCCCCTTTCTCTCTCTAACATCTTGGGCCCCACCTGCTGTACAGAGTTTTGGGTTTGTTTTTTTTTTGGGGGGGGTAATCGGGGTTAAGTAATTTGTTCAGGGTCACACAGCTAGTGAGTAGGTCTGAGGCTGGATTTGAACTCACATCCTCCTCACTCCAGTTGCCAATGCTCTATCTACTGTGCCACCTAGCTGCCCCTAGTATAGAGTTTTAATGCCTAAATGGCATACTTCATATTTTATCCTAGAAGCAACAAAAGGCCACTGGAGTTTGTTTGGTAGGGGAGTCATATGGTCAAATCTATCCCTAAGGAAAATCACTTTGGAAACAACATGTAGGACGACCTAGAGAGGTGAGATACTTAAGGCAGGGAGATCACTGCAGCAGTCCAAGTAAGAGGTGATGAGGATCTGAAATAAGGTCGCAGCTGAGTAAAAAGATCAGATGCCAAAGACGCTGAGGAAATAGAAATGGTAAGATTTGGCAACTGATTAGATATGTGGGGCTGGTGAGGTGACGGGGCGAGTGAAAAGTCAAGGATAATGCCAAAGTTACAAAGCTGAGAGACTAGAAGAATGGTGCAGTTGCCTTGGACACAAGTAGGGAAATTTCAAATAGGGGAGTTTGGGAAGAATGATGATGAGTTCACTTTTGCACATGTTGAGTTTAAGATGCCTCAAGTACATTTAGTTTGAATAAATGGGAGTGATGCGGGAGTAAGGTCTGAGGAGAGATTGAACTTAACATGCACTTATAGACTTTGAGGTTTAGATAACACTTTCTCATTTATTTATTTTATTAAACAAAGCACAGAAAGGCCAAGTGACTTGCCTTAGCTCCAGAGTCACAAGCTAACACCTGAGAAGTTAACTCAGGCCTCCTGAGTCTTAGACCAGGGCTACTTCCACGATGCCAGACTACCTTTTTTTGTAAACAGAGAACTCTTAAGAGTGCATAGGGTACTTCTGGTGACCACAAAGTTCACCTCATTGGAGGTCTTTAAGCAAAGGCTGGACTGACTTAGTTTGGAATGTAGGGAGTGGCATCCCTTTTTGGAGATGGGTTGCATCAGGTGGCTACAGACATTTCTTCCAACTCTGAAATTCTGTGATTTACTTATTTGTTGTACTGGGGCCTTTTTTTTGGTCCTTTGCTCTGGTTTTTCTTTTAGCTTCCCTTTGAAGGTTTCTTTCCACTCCTCTTTTCTTTGCTGTGTTCCTTAACCTGGCATACTGGTTGTCTTGTAAAGTGGAATAGAAGTGCTGGTCCAGGTAGATGTTCTGAGCAGTCCAGCAGAACCACCATAGCACTGGCCTCCTGTAAAGACTCCCTACACCAATAGTTCTTTCTTTCTTTATTTTTTTTAATTAATTTATTGTGATTTATCAACCATCAATTCCATATGCCCTTGAGTTCAAAATTTCTCTCCTTTTCCTGCCTAACCCCCAAGATGGCACACAATCTGATATAGGCTATACATATACATTCCTATTTTCACATTAGTGATGTTGTAAGTAAGAATTAGAACCAATAGGAGGAACCACCAGAAAAAGAAAAGAACAGAAGAAAAAACAGCAAATAGTATGTTTTGATCTGCATTCAAATGCCATAGTTCATTCTTTGGATGTGGATAGCATCCTCCATCACGAGGCCTTTGGAGATGTCTCAGATCCTTCTATTGCTGGGAAGGGTTAAATTTATCTATATAAGTCATCGCACAATGTGGCTGTTATTGTGTACAACATTCTCTTGGTTCTGCTCACTTCACTCAGCATCAGACCACACAAGTCTTTCCAGGTTTTTCTGAAGTCAGCCTGCCCATCATTTTCTATATAGCACAACAGCATTCCATTACATTCATAATCACAACTCGCTCAGCCATTCCCCAATTGATGGGCATCCTCTCAATCTCCAATTCTCTGCCACCATAAAAAGAGCTGCTATGACTATTTTTGTACATGTAGAGCCTTTTCCCATTTGTATGACCTCTTTGGGATAAAGCCCTAGAAGTGCTATTGCTGGGTCAAAGGGTATGCACATTTTTATAGCCCTTTGGGCATAGTTCCAAATTGTTTTTCAAAATGGTTGGATCATTTCACAACTCCACCAACAATGCATTAGTGTTCCAATTTTCCCACATCTTCTCCAACATTTATCATTTGCTTGTTTTTTCATCCTGGCCAATCCGATAGGTGCGATGTACCAACAGTTCTTGTAGCTAGTGTGTAGGTTGTGTAGGGGCATGGGAGCCCCAACAGCAAAGGGCATCAAGAGTAAAGGGAGGGCATTTGTTGGCTTAAGGCTAGATTTGGGTTTGGGAAAATAAACTGTGCCTTCATGAGTTGTTCATAATCCAGATGTTCTTCATTCAAATGCCCTCATATAAGTTCATAATGCAAGCGTCCTTAATTCAGGAGCTACATGAATACTAATGGATTATATCTGGGCTCCAAAACACAAAGAAAAATAAAATCTAATTTTATCTCATGACATTGATATTACCCCAAGGACTGCTGACTCTGGAGGCAGAGGATCTGGATTACACTCCCGGTTCTGCTACCTATTACTTGTGTGAATTTGACTAACTTGTTTAACTTGTTTGAACTTCAGTTTCCTATCTGTAAAATTTGACATGAGATCCATTTTAGCTCTAAAACTACGATCCTACAATAAAAGCAAAATAACTGAAATGCATTAAAAATGTGGAGAATTTAGACAAAGGAAAAAACCGAATTTAAAATACTCTTTCTGTATTGTAAAGACTCTTTTCACCATCTTCCTCACCCCCTAAGTATTTTTGCTTATTCTGTCCCCTTTGTACATTCTTTTCCCTGGGACATTTATGTTTTTCACATCCATCCTAAAAGGGCCAGCTCAAGCCCCATCTGCTATATGAAATCTTCTCTACCAGACCACATTGACCCTTGCCCTAATTCGTTTTGTACTTTTTTCCATACTGCACCATCAGAACCTTATTAAATACTTCTATTATTAAAATGTACTACACAAATTAGAACTTCCTATTAATATATACTGCTATTTTGTAATTAACTTTCATGTGTGTATACATACATACATACATATGGTTGGGTTTTTTTTTTTTTTGAGGCAATCAGGGTTAAGTGACTTGCCCATGGTCACGCAGCTAATAAGCATCTGAGACTGGATTTGAACTCAGGTCCTCCTGAGTCCAGAGCTGGTTGTCTATCTACTGCACCACCCAGCTGCCCCCAATTAACTTTCACTTACATCTCATCCTCTAAGTGGATTTCAAGCCCTATATGGACAAGTACTGCGATATACTTCTTTTATACTATCAAATGCCTTTAGCACTGTGTTTGACATTCAAATACTTTACTAGCTGATTAAAGCTTTAAGTAAATTCAGGATCTTGAAGTTTGATATTAATAGAGTCATTCACCAACTGTTTATTAATTAGTTACTCCGTTCAAAAATACTGTGCTGTGGCTAAATTTTGTGGATTACTAACCTTTCATCCCAACCATTTCTCTTCAGTACTTCAAAGGACTGTCTCAGGACCAAACGAATTAGCTAAAGATAAAAAAGTTTGTTATACAAGAAAGTAGACATTTCCAATTAGTTCAATAAAATAAAGGTATTGACACAACTGCTGCAGTCCAGATGCTGATAACTTATACTGTAATCAAATGTAGCCACCAGGTACCAAAGTCGTATTTCCCAAATCTACCTTCCTTTTAAAATAGCACAGGAGTGACCCAAACCTCGATTTTTCAAATATGTAAGCAAGTAATGGCTAAAGATGAACCTTTCTATTTCTATACCTTTATTTCATTTTACATTCTGTTCTCGTCATTCTAATGGTCTTTGTTGGCTAAATTAAGTTTCTGAGTATTTTCCCCAACAAGAGATTTTGAGTTTGTATGTTATAATAACTAACTTGTGTCTCAGAATGTTATGCAACAAAGCTGAAAAAGAAAACAAAATGAAAAACAACCTAAGCTCTTACCATATAATATTTGTTTAGACGATGCTGATCTATTCCTTTCCATTCTCGATTCATGGTTTTCCAAAACGTTTGGATGAATAGGTGTTCTAGAGTGAATAAAAGTACCTGAACATCTGATTCCCAAAATACTGCATTATGCTTTCTTACAAACAACATATAAATATGTAGGGACACATTCAGAATAGTGTACCAATTAGACTAGTGCTTATAAATTATTCTTTTTGGTCAACCTGAAATAAAAAATATGCTAAATAGGTCCAACAATTTTTTTAAAAAGAGAAAACATGATTAAATAATAGGAAACACATGGAAGTTTATGTTTCAAGAAGCAGAGTGCTCGAGAAACACATTTTTCTTTATCTATGGCTAAGATAATATTCATAAAGTGCTTAACACTGGCACATTTTAGACACTTAACATATGCTTGCCTACCCCCCTCCAAATTAAGATCTAACTTTTTTTTGATCCATATTCATAGGCCTTTTAAACTTGTATCTGCATCCACAATTAATTAAAACTCACTTATTTTTATGAATATCCTCAAAGTCTCTGTAAGATCTACCCATACATTTTCACCCCATATCATATATTAGTTGAGTGGGTAAAAGCACAAATCATTTTATCAATCAACAAGCACTTACTTAGCACAAAGCATGTGCCAGGAACTGTGCTAGGCACTTATCTTCTCAAAATTCAATTGGTACGCAACTTAGAGCTGCTTTTTTCCACTTGAAAGTGAAGTGATCATTCTCTGTGCATGTAGTTCTCTGCAGAAATTTGCCTTTATTACTGGCTGAATATAGTTCAAGTTCAGAAAGCTACTTTGGGTTATAAAGCCATTAGAATCATTAGGTCTGACTTGTTAAAATAGAACAAACTAACTTCTGCTGTCTTTTATGTCCTCAGGGCAAAAGTTCAAACGTTTCAGAAATATCCTTGGAGTGCTCATCACTTTTAAAATTCAGTTCTATTACTAAGAACCATCTTCCAAAATGTATTATTACTTCAATTTGTTTTCATTAGCTTTAAACAGTTCTCTGAACTTGAGAAACAACCATCTGGCCATTTAAAGAGGTTCTCTCAAATATATGAATATGTACATACAGCTATATAAAAATGCCTATTAAAGTACTTCAGTATTTTTAGTCAATGAATAGTTATTTGTTAAGATAGTACTACATTTAAATGGATATTTGCAATGTATGCATGTAGTTACTTAGAAACCTGTCTCCTCATAATGTCAAAACATCAAAAACCTACCTTACGTAGATATCATACATTATATACTTGCCCTAAGTCTTAAAGGTAAAAACCCAAACTTTAAAGGGCAGTAGAAAAAGAGAAGAACAACGACCAACTATGTCACTCAAAATTAAATAAGACTTACGAGCCTCCAAGTTGTTAATAACATGGATGAGCTGGGAAATGGTATCAGCTAACTCCTCCTGTAAAGATAAGGTTAAGAAAAGATGTTGGTGTTGATATGTGGTAATAATGCATAGTGACAACATAACGGCCTGTGCCCTCCTCTCATATCTGTTGATGAGAAAATCTAAGCCTCTCGTTTTCAACATAATTTCCACTAAAAAATATGTATGAGTGTTTGCATATCATGTATGAGTGTTTGCATATCATATATGAAAAACCACATTTTCCACAGATTCATTATGCCAGAATATATGTCTTTGAGGTGCTGTTTAAGCAGCACATACGAAAATATTCCCTATTTGTCACTTTAGCTGACTTAAACTATACATAAATCAGTAGTCAGTTTCTTTCTTCAAATACATGTATTAATATATATTGTGATTTTACAAAACAGTCAAATAATTAAAAGTCAATGAAGCCTACAGTGGGATCTGATAATGCAAGTACAGTATAGCTATACATAAGAAATTCTCTCCTCCACTACTGACTTAATCTATGATTTTAGACAAATCAAGACAAAGCAGAATGATAAATGTAGACTGTGACCCACAAGAAACTGAGGAGCATCAGTTTAAGACTCTTCCTAGTATTAGGAGGAAAACAGCATAGCACATGTATTAGTTCTATCATGAGCTACACACATGGTTTAAAGGATATAATTAAATGACATTTGTGAGTAAAAAAATCTATTAAAAAAAATCTGCTCATCGGAGGAGAAAGCTAATCTTATTAATTTTAATGAGTTATCTATGAATTTTTTTGATCCCAAGTTTGGTTCTATTTCTAATTTCAAATTTTCTTACTTCTATTAAACCTAATGTTTTACTAATCTTCAATGCAAGCAAAAAACAATTTACACAATCATCCTAACTGCAGCAAGTAGATATTAGTAAAAATCAGTATACTAGAACAAATTCTTACATGCTCTCGAGAAAGCAGCTATGCTAAAGGTTATACATTAAAATCCAAAGCAGAATTTATTCTATTATTTCTTAAATGGCAGAATCAATGAAGAGAGTCACATTTAAAGTGAACAATGAAAAATATCTTGTCTACTGATGAAAAAGAAACCTATAAAACAAAACTCACTGGAGCATCTACTGAATTATGACTGAAGACATTTCTAAAATTTATGCACATCTTTCATTTTAAGGTTAATATTTATGGTACATAATCCTTTTGCTCTTTCTGAAGCAGTGTGGAATACTGAACAGAATACTAGCATTCCCCCTGAAGATGCTTGCCTAGCCTAGCTTAGCCTGGGCATACCAATTAACCTCTCTGATCCTTGGTTTCCCCATACGTAAAATGAGAAGGTTGGACTCAATGGCTTCCAATACCTTCCAGCTATGATCCTAAGTCTTCCTGAATAGTAATAACGGCCCATATTAATATATGACTTTAAGTTATTTACTTTACAACAATTCTGTGAAGTAGGTGGCAATTATCCTAACCAAACTGGGAATCTTTTCTACCCACCTTACAGGGTTGTTAATTTTGTTTTAAAAAGTTTTTTTTTTTTGTTAAAGTAGCTCAAAGTAAATGATCTTACCTGTAGGAGAGATTCATCTTGCATCCACATGCAATAAAAAAGTCCTTTCCATATTTTTAATAGTTCTTCTTGACTAAAGCCCCCTAGAGTATAAAAAAACCCACAAAATTCTTGTTAGAAAATGTACACATTCCTTTTCTAAAAATTGAGAGTAACAACTGAAGGAACAAAAGTAAAATACGCATCATGTAGATGAGGCCTATAGAACATATCTATGGGTGATATGAATTTTATTTTCACTGTTTTAGGAGCATGGGAGAAGAATTAAGATTTATTTTGCTTGGCTATGGAAAGGAGTTCTAAGAGCAACAGATAGAACCTAAAGATTTTGGTTCAATATAAGAGCTTCCAAATAATCAAAGCTGTTTCTTTTTGTGGTGGCAAAGATTTGGAAATTGAGGGGATGCCTATCAACTGGGGAATGGCTGAACAAGTTGTGGTATGTGAATATAATGGAATACTATTGTTTCATAAGAAATGGTGAGCAGGCAGATGTCAGAAAAACCTGGAAAGACTTGCATGAACTGATGCTGAGTGAAATGAACAGAACCAGGAGAACACTGTTCATAGTAACAGCAACATTGTGCGATGACCGACTTTGTTAGACTTACCCCTTCTGAGTAATGCAATGATCTAAGACAATCCCAAAAGACTCATGATGGAAAATGCTATCCATATCCAGAGAAAGAACAATGAAGTCTGAATGCAGATTGAAGCATACTATTTTCTCTCTCTTTTTTTTTTAAATTTTTTTTGTGTTTTCTTTCTCATGGTTTTTTCCTTTGGTTCTGATTCTTCTTTGCAACATGACTAATGGGGGAAATATTTTTAACATGATCATACATGTATAGCTTATATCAGATTGCATGCTGTCTTGGGGAGAGGGGAGAAAATTTAGAACTCAAAATCTTATAAAAGCAAATGATGAAAACTAAAAAGAAAGAAAAAAATAATCAAAGCTATTGAAAAATGGAATGGGACTGCTTTATGGGGTATGATGAGCTCTCTGTTGTGGGACAGGCTTACTGCGGATGATGAAAACAGAATTTATGCATTGGATGGGTAGCTGGATAAAAAGACTTCTAAGGCTTTTTCCTAATACTAGCTTTCTATGATCTCATATTTAATCCTTCCCCATCGTTAAGTGCCTTTTTCATCCTAAACACTAATTTCCCTCTTCTCATTAACAATATAACTGATGTATACTAAATCATTTTAAAAATCATTAGATGAGGGGCAGCTAGATGGCGCAGTGGATAGAGCACCAGCCCTGGAGTCAGGAGGACCTCAGTTCAAATCTGGTCCCAGACCAAACACTTGACACTTACTAGCTGTGTGACCCTGGGCAAGTCACTTAACCCCACCTGCCTATTAAAAAAAAAAAGTAAAAAAAAATCATTAGATGTTAAGTATTTTCTCTATTCCTGTGGTCAAAGTCTTATCGATAATATTAGTAATGGGAAAATAAAACTTACTGTAAATATAGGAAATATTACAGTCTTGAATTTTTCTAAAGGTGGCTACTAAATAATCAAACAACAAGTGCAATCTTGCTGCACCCTGATATATTCTGTATATCACAATATATCCAAATTTTATTAAAGGACAAGATGATAAACCTTTTGGGGGTAGCAAAAGCAGGATCTAATGGATGACAGCAAACATACTGGAGATTAAAGAAGTTGTACTAATATTCTAAAAAATAAAAAATACCCATGCAACACATATGACTACATTCAAATCCTTTCCTGCACTCAAGCTTGTTTACCGTATTCAAAAAGTGAATTCATTTCTTCTATAATTTGCAACAATTTTGCATATTTACAGGACAGGAGCATTTACTCTCTTTGGGGGTAGACTCATCTCGTGCATTTAAAAAAATCAAAGGACAGTTGTAAAATGAAAGGTTGCTAAGATAAATATTGTTCAAAAATAAGGAAGATGCCATACCAAGAATTTATTCTGCCCTTGAGCTGTAGGACCTTTAATTAGCAACCGTGCAATGTAACTGGCACGGTACCTTACACATAGTAGGCACTCATTAAATATTAATTGAATGAATCAAAAAAGAACTAGACCAACTTTAGAGGTTTCATACTCCATTCTTCAAAGTAAGGCAATCCACATGCTCCAAACCATTGCCCTTCTGAGGCAATATCAAAACAGAAGGCTCAGGAATAACAAAAATTGAGACAAGTGGTCCACAAAGCAGGGGGCTAAAATAACTTATATTTTCTAGAACATCTTAAGAAGATTTATAAAATGTTTTCCTCATAACAACTCTATGAGGTATTTCAAATATTATTAATTTCACTTTATACATGAGGAAACTGAGGCTCAAAGAAAGTAAAAGTGACTTCCTCTGGGGTTTGGTCTAAATTAGAGGCCTTGAAAAACCTCTAATTTTGATATAGAGGGGGAATAGTGGTGAAGGTAGAGAAGTTATATTGTAAGAAATGGCAAATAGAATCTAAAAGAAAAGGAAGGTATGTAGGTGGCAAGTGTGTAATTTAGGGAAATGGAAGCTCTCTGACCAGACTATCTTCTTTTTTTGCTTTTTTGGTGAGGCAATTGGGGTTAAGTGACTTGCCCAGGATCACACAGCTAGTAAATGTCAAGTGTCTGAGGTCACATTTGAACTCAGGTCCTCCTGACTCCAAGGCCAGAGCTCTAACCACTGCGCCACCGAGCTGCCCCTGACCAAATTATCTTCACACCAGGAAGGGACATTCTAAAGACGAAGCTCTTCTGGCAGTTTATCAGCTCCAAAGGCAAGTGAGAGCAAAAGGCCTTCAATGTCCTCATCTGTAAAATAATGAAGTTGGGCCAAACATCTTCTAAGGCTCCTTTCAACTACAAAATAAAAAAATGAAAAAGTTCCTGATATACATTCCTACTTATCCTATACATGAATACAAAGAATACTCATTTGTAGACTTAGTCCAAAAATTGTATGGGTGGGTCAGGAATTGATACTATGCTCTCATCTTTAAAGAAAGCAAAATTGCCATTTTAAATCACAAGAGCTAAGATACAATTTAGTATTTTTGGTCCATTACATTTTGTGTATTAAAGATTGTTCTAAAATAGAAACACCCATATTACAATAAAAAATAATGAAATTAAAATGCAGTTCTAGCAATGATTTACCTCCAGATAGAGACACATTTAATCCAAAGTACTACTGTTTTTGATGGGAAGCAATCATGAGCTAGAATATCAAGAGTTAACCTTGAAGGTAGTTAGACTGGACAAATGCTAATGTGATCCTAGAAAAGTCCATCATTTAACCTCTCAGTACCCTAAGCAACTCTGTATGACTCTACATTGCAGAGAAGGTGCCTGGACTGGTTGAGGGAGTTTCCTCATCCATACCAATGAAACCACATGTCTTAATCCTATCCCAATGATTTCAATCGAACAACAGACTGGGAAGAGATTTTGGCCATTGGCAAGAAAGGTACTCAAATGCACAAGTATATTCAAATAATTTCATCTCTATGTTTTGGTTTTTCCAACTGTTTTTTACTTTATGGGAATTTCATGAAAACAAGGTCCATTTCTGACACGTTTTGTGCAATGTGTAGTATTTATTTCAGTTGTAAAAAAAAGAAAGGCCCAGGAAAGTAAAGTAAAATGTTATGCAAACTAATTTCTTTCAAATTATTCAATATTAAGTCTTTATGGACAAAAACTAGATTATTTGGTGGGTATGAATTTAACATAATATTATTTACCTCAGAATGTTCTAAAGGCTAGCATGCTTTGAAATGATAAAACGAACAGTCATTCTCACAATGAAATGAAAACAATACTTCTCATTCCATCGTAAGGTGGTATCTATCCCACTGTGATTATAGTTATGAATCACGTTTATTTTATCACCTTTGGGAGGTGATAAAACTTTCTAGAGGATAAAAATTTTGGAGAGAATGTAGCAATATGCCTAATGGTGAACAACAGCTTAACAGAACAGTGAAATTAATATTACTAAATTATCTGAGGACTGAATGAGTAAACTGCATATAACATTTACATTAGGTCCACATAGCATCCCTACTTATCCTATATACGAATTCAAAGAATGCTCATTTGTAGACTTAGTCCTACAATTGTGTGAGCAGGTCGGGGAAACCTGACCATCATCAGGAAACATCAGATCAGATGTTAGACACTCAAAATGTGTTAAAAGCTTGCTTTGTTTTTAAACATCTATGATAATAATTTATAGTCTTGATGGACAACTAAACTTTCTGTGCTGAGGGAGGCTTTGTACAAATATATTTGTACATGTGAATATAAGAATTCATGATCTAGAACAAAATAGTGAAATACTGTATTATCAAAATTGAGAAAGAGCTATACATCAATCTATTTTCTACAATCTCTGTTAACTCTCCTCTTTTTGTTCCCTTATCTCCACAAAATTTCTTAGGCTACTTTGTTCTTTTTCCTACATCTTATCAAGTTAGACCTGATTTTTGTGTACAGGTTTCATTCTCCTAAAAACTGTAAGCTGCTTGAAGTTAGGGGCTGAATTGTTTCATCTCTGTATCTCTAGTGCATGGTTTCTTAACCTGGGATCCCTGAGCTTTAAAAAATAATTTAACTGAATTTCAACTTAGTTTCCTTTGTAATTCTATGTATTTTATTTAATGCATTTAAAAACATTCTAAGAAGTGGTCAATTGGTTTCATCAGATTGCCAAAAAAAAAGTTTAAGAGTCCCTGCTCTAGCAATTTGCACGGAAGTACCTATTTAACAAATGTTTGTTGAACTGAATTATAGAGGGATGTCATCAGTAGTTCTGAAGCCTGATGTAAAGCACTGACTCTCCCTTACTTACAAATATTTACATCTTGATGCTTCCCTGGTTTGAAGGAGTTGATAAAGTTTTAGGCTGTTAGAGACTTTTATTTCCAGCAAATATAATTGTTTCTATCTTTTCATTTTTTCTAAGCACTCAAATGCAAGAAGAGAAATTATGCATAGCCCAAAGAGACTGCCAATGGTTCCTGAGGATTGTCCTAGAACATATACCCAAACAGTTCTCTCCTTTGCCAGGTTTTAGTGTTAAAATTGTCTCCTTTAAAGAAAAGGAGTTGTGAGGGGAGAGAGAAATCATTAATTTCTCCAACCACTATAAATTTTAGAGTAGTTTTACTAAGATGAATAGATGTATTATATTGTTGTGAATGCTTTAAAGAGAAACTTGGAAGCTGAGAAAAATTTCTAAGAAAGACTAAGCCACATCATTTGGTCTCATTTGAAATAGATGTCACGGAGCTTTTCCTTTATAAAAGCATCATGGAACTGTAGATAGTCTAAAATCCTGGAAATAAGCAGAGTGCATTTGATTGTTTGAAAGTCTTGGGCTGATGCCAGTTAGTTAACAAGCTGCAAATATTACTATGTTCTTATTAACTAATTCAATTCAGTCAGTCAGTTCATAATCATTTATTAAGTGTTTACCGTGTTCCAGGTTATGTATTAAGTGCTGGGGAGACAAAAGAAAGGCAAAAGACAGTTGCTGAAATCAAAAAACTTCCAGTCAAATGGTTTAAACATGCAAACAACTACGAACAAACAAGTTATACATAGGATAAATAGGAAATTACCAACAGAGAATGGCACTAGAATTGCAAGGGATTGGGAAACATTTCTGTTAGAAGGTAGGATTTTAGCTGGGACTTGAAGGAAGCCAGGGAATCCAGGAGGCGGAGAACATTCCAGGTATGGGTGACAGCCAATGAAAATGCCCAGAGCTAAGAGATGGAGTGTCGTGTTAGAGGGCCAGTAAGAAAGAACGCCACTGGATCAAAGAGTACCTGGGGATGGGAGGATTGGTGGGTGGATGTAGGAAGACTGAAAAGGCAGGTAGTAGAAGGCTAAGTTATTACGAAAAGCTTTGAATGCTAAAAGGAGGATTTTGTATTTGATCTTGGAGTTGACATAGTTGGACCTAGACTTCAGAGAATTCACTTTGGTTACTGAATAAAGGATGGAAGGCAGAGTCGAGGCAGAAGACCCACAGCAGGCTACTGCAATAGTCTAGGTGGGAGTTGATGAGGGCCTTCATTGGGGTAGTGGCAGTATCAGAAAAGAGAAAGTGGTACATTCAAAAGATGTTGTAAAGGTGAAATCACCAGGCCCTGTTAAAAGATTGGCTATGAGGGGTTGGGTGTGTGTGAGACATAGTGAGGAGTTGAAGATGACACATAACTTGTGAAACTCAAGAGACAGGAACAATGGTACTGGGGGTGGGGGGCCAAGGTTTATGTGGAAACATCATGTGCTCAGTTTTGGACATGTTGGGTTTAAGATGTCTACAGAACCAGTGTAATTAATATGCAACTGGAGATGTGATACTGGAGGTCTGCAGAGAAGTTAGGCCTGAATAAGTAGATTTGAAATCATCAGCATACAGATGATAACTGAATCCACGGGAACTTTTGAGATTACCAAGTGAAGTAATATAAAGGGAGAAGAGAAGATAATCTAGGACACCTACAATTAGAAAGTATAACCTGGATGAAGATTCAGCAAAGGAGACTGAGGAGGAGTGGTCAGGTAGGTAGGAGGAGAACCAGGAGAGCCAAGTCCTAAAAATCTAGGAGAGAGTATCAAGAGACTGATCAACAGTGTCAAAGACTAAAGAAAAGTCAAGAAGGATGAGAACTGAGAAAAGGCCATTGGATTTGGCAGATTTTTGTCAGAGATCACTGGTAACTCTGGAAAGAATAGTTTCAATTAAATGATGATGTCAGAAGTCAGACTGCAGAGAATTAAGAGAATAAGGTGGGGCAGCTATGTGGTGCAGTGGATAGAGCTCCCACCTTCGAGTTAGGAGGAACTGAGTTCAAATTTCACTTCAGACACTTGACACTTACTAGCTGTGTGACCCTGGTCAAGTCATTTAACCCCAACTGCCTCACCAAAAAGGAAAAAAAAATGAAGAGAGTAAGATGAAAGAAAGTGGAAGAACCTATTGAGATTGTCTTCTGAAGGAATTTAGCCACAAAAGGAAGAAAAGACATGGGACAATTATTATACTGGGGATGGAAGGACAAGGGAGGGAAAACATATCAGTAAAAAGCAGTAATGCTAGGCACTAAAGGGTAATATACAAATAAGTGGCAGGGTTCTTGCCTTCAAGAAACCTCAGGAAATGATATCTTTTTGGTTTCTTACCCCAAATAACTTTTCGTAGGGCTCATATACGTCAGCTAAATTAGGAGCAAAGTTCCAATTTGTTGACCCAGGGACTCCAGTGTTATATCCATAAGAACATCTGACCTTCCTTTAGGCTTGTTTTTCTTTTTCTGGGAAGTCTTTTATCTTTCCTGTCAATAGTTCTTTTCTTGAAGGAATTCAAAGAAATGGTACCAAAAAAAAAAATTAAAGGAAGAGAAAGGTTTCCAACAGGAAACCAGGTGAAGAGATAGGAGTAAAGTCCAACAAAATTATCATGTGGGGAGGCAACCTGATATAGTAGGCACTGGAGTCAGGAAGACTCCAATCCAATCTCACACATTTTCTAGCTGTGAGACTCTGGGTAAGTGACTTGATTTCTCTGTGCCTCAGTTAACTCAAAGGGGTTGGACTTGATGGCCTCTAATTCACCCTTTGAGTTCTAAATCTAACATCTTATGTTTCTAATTAGTTCACAACTTATACCTGCTGTCAAAAAAAGGTATACCACTTATCTGCTACATGAAAGTAATTAAGTCGTTGATCTTAATAGTGACATAAAAGAATGTATTTATGTTAATACTTCAAGGATTAGGAATTCTTTATCACTGCGGATGACAGATGGCTCACAGCCCCTCCATGGCTTTCCTATATGGTCTTTGAGAATTCTTAAGGCTAAAAAACTCATCAACTTGGAGTCACCCTAGTGATATGTCTGTGGGATACATAAACAAAATATACTGGGAAAGTAGTTGTTTCCTGGTATATAAATATGTAAAGCTCTGTAGAGTTGTGGAAAATGCCATTTACCTGCAGTCAGAAGATGTAGGCTCGAGTCCTACTGGCCCTGCCATTTACTAGCTGTTGTCATCTTTTGTAAAAGGGGCATAAATATATTGCAACCTAGCTCAGCGGTTGAGGGGAGGTCCCAATGTGATAATATTATGTAAGAGGGCTTTGTCGGCTACATATATGTCCTCTCTCTATACTGTTTAGTACCAACTCTATCTGGCACAATATTCTATCCTCAATACCTTGTTCTCAAAAGTCCAGTTTTTCAAATTGGCTTCCCGATACCTTGGCCCCAGCCCTACTGATGCCAACCAAAGCTGACTCCCCCTCATGTTCCCATCCCCAATTCATAGTGGCAATTCCCGTCTACCCCAGATCACCACGACGGCTGCTTTTAGCTAAAAAAATAAACACGAACCCCGCTAGGATGCTCTCTCTGCTCCCGGTCTCCCTGTTCTGGAGCGCACCCCGCAGCTCGGGAAGCTGCTCTCCACCACGCTCCGCTCCACTGCCGGCGCCGCCCGGCCCCAGCCGCGCTTGTACCTCCCCGCTAGTGCCCCATGTGCTTTCCCTCCTACCGCGGCTCCCGGCCCCTTCCCCGCCTCCCCCGCCCCCATCCAGTAAGCCATGTGGCGAGTAACCTCGCCGGCCGCCTCCTCCCTCCCTCGGCCCCCCGGGCCGGGGGCGGCGACCCCCGCCTCGGGGCTTACCTGTCACTCTCTGAGTTTTCACGCTAATGTACTGGCGCAGTTTTTTTGCCGCGCGATCCCGAACCAGCTTCTCGTTCGATGCCAGTCTCTGGGCAAACTGGATCTCGGCCGGCTGCATGGCAGGGGCCATGATGCCCCCGGAACATCCCCTTCCTTCCTCCCTCCCACGCCGCCGCCGCTCTCCTCCTCCTTCTTCTCCTCCTCCTCCTCCTCCTCTTCCTCCTCCTCCGCCGCGGCCACCGCCGCCGCCGCCTCCTCCCGCAGCCGCAATTGCGCAGAGGCCGCGGACGAGTCGAACGGCGGGCGGGGGTGCCGCGCGTCACGTTCCAAGGAACGCGGGGTGATGACGTCATAGGGGGCTGCGGCTCGGAGCGGCCCCTGGGAAGGGAGCGTGGCGGACCCTGCGGCCGCGCTGAGCCGGGGCCGGGGACCCCGGGAGGGCTGCTTCTGAGTCCGCTCCCCTCCTGGTTCTAAACAAGTCCTTGAGAACACTGCGCTTCCTGACCCGCCCCGCTCTTTTCTCCACTCCATCCTTCCTACGGTCACTTTTCTGCTAGAAAGGAATATGTTCCTCTGCTCAAAAATTTGAAGTATTTCTTTAGTAAGGGCCAGAGAGACGCCTTTATCTAGCGTTCAAGGCTCTCCACCATCTGGTGCCACTTTCTCTCCTTATCCTTTTTATCTGTGCTTTTCATCTATGCACCAACTAGTGCCCAAATGTAGTTGCCTCAGGACACTATGCCTGTTTAAATCTAAAGCCCAAGTCCTACGCCACACCTTTGATCTCTGCCTTGCCCTCTGAATTTCAAATTACACTTGGTCTTTCACATCCCTCATACATGCATTATGCATTGTTTTGTATTATAGTTATGTATTTATGTGTAATTTTCTACTATGAGAGGCAGCCTAGTAAAATGGATAGCCCAGATTCAAGTTCTGCCTCCTGCCACACACATACTGTGTGACCTTGGACAAGTCTATTAACTTCTCAGTGATCTAGACAGCTAAGACTATAAATTGAGGGAATTTCCTAGACTATTGAAATTACAGGTCCAGTCCCTATTATTAGACTATTAGCTAACATAATGACAAAGCTTGGACCAAGAAAAAATGCAGTTCCCTTCCTTAATTGCAGAAGTGAGAGGCTATGAGTATGGATTATTGCATATTCTGTCAGACTTGTTAGATTTGTTGACTAGTTTTGCTGAACTACACTATTTCTCTCTTAAAAAAATCTTTATTGCAAAGGAAGAATCTTTGTGCTTTGCAGCTAATCTATACCACTAACTGATTAAATCTGTGGAGGTGTTTTAGCCTCCTATGTTTGATTGTAATGGAGTGGACTCCCATCTCTTACACACACACAATATAGAATTATGAGACTATCACACCTGTGGTGTTGAGAAGCTATCACTACTTCTTGTACTCTATAGTCTTGACAAACTGTTCTCTCCATTTCTCATACATAGTATGAGAAATGTTCCACTTCCCACTTTTGCCCTATGCCTGGAATGTACTTCCTGCCTCACATCCATCTCAGACACTCCCTCACTTAACCCTGTTTGCCTCAGTTTCCTCATCTGTAAAATGAGCTGGAGAAGGAAATGGGAAACTACTTAAGTATCTTTGCCAAGAAAACCCCAAAAGAGGGCATAAAAGCCAGATACAACTGGAAAATGATTAAACAAGTCCTACCTGCTAGCCTACACATGCTTGTTCATCCCATCCTCTTATCTCTAATCTCATTTTTAATTTTTATTATTTTTATTATTTTTTATTTTTTTATTAGTCAATTGGGGTTAAGTGACTTGCCCAGGGTCACACAGCTAATAAGTGTCAAGTGTTTGGTTTGAGGTCACATTTGAACTCAGGTCCTCCTGAGTTCAGGGCTCGTGCTCTATCCATTATGCCACCTAGCTGCCCCTAATCTCATTTTTTATGATGTGGTAATAGGAGAGGTGCTGAGATGAAATGGCCCATTCCCTTTTATAAATGTATACTTGTCAGATTTGTCTTTCTCTTATCCAAAGTTGTTTTTAAAAATGGCTGGTGTCAAGATATTAGGAGACACTCTGCTGCAAAACAGGCTATACTCCAACTCTGGTACAACAATCCTTTGTACTCATCCTCTGGATGATCTCAGGCACAGCAAAACCCCAGAACTGGAACTTAAGATTGCTCTATTTCCCAGGAGATCCTGTCTTGAGAACTGGGGCTATAGCTGACATGCTACAGCAGAAAGTGATCAATCACATCTCCTGACACGCTGAACACTCCCTGCACCTGTAACTGCTCAATGAACTGAACCAGGTGCTGCACTTCTGTTCTCGCCATGCTAACTCTGGTTCTGTACCCCACTGAATGATCACAAGGCTCAATGACTCTTATGACTTGAGACAATCACAAGGCTCAATAATTCTAATAACTTGGGAACAGTTCCCACAGAACTCAAGAATGCCTATACTGTCCCAAAAATGCCTGCATGCATGGGCCTGCCATGGGAACTGTTAATTCAAGACCTAAGAATGACTTTTTGTGGTTTTCATGCTTAGAAACCCTACACCTGCCATAAGCCATAAGCCTTCCTTCTCAGGAGGCCTTCCACTTAACAAGCGTTTTCCTCACTTTGATTTCTGTTTGATTCCTGAGGTCTGGTTGGCACTGGAAATTTGAATCCTGCAAAAATCCTCGGTGATCAGCCTGCCAATGTGTTTTCTGCCTTAACAAAATGCTTTCAATTATTTTATTTTTTTTAAAGGTACCTAGAGACCACAAGATGGGCCTCAGCATAAGTGCCATGGGCAAACATGAGAGGCAAAGAACAGTACAAGGACCTTGGTTTCTGCATTAGTATCATTCCTAGCAGAAATGATGAAAAGCTGCTTACATGGGAGACAGGTCCATAACACACACAGGACTTTCATAACAAACAAAGTTGCAATAGGTGAATAAAGAAACCCAATACAGCAGTAGCTTTAGGGGTGTGAAGACCTTTGGCAGTATCCATGATGTTCAGGGGTCTGGCAAGCACTTCCTGTACATCTCTCAAACAGCTGAGTTTGGATCAGGGCAGGCCTGTAGAAGCATTTTCTCAACCTAGAGAACTAATCTTCACTTCATTGAATTTTTCCTTCACCATTAGCATAAGTTTTTATTATGCAATACCAATTAATTGCAATACTGTTACCTTTAGGATTCTTAAAAGCTTAAAATGTATGATCTATTCCAGTACCTTTTGGTGAGTTTTGCTTCTAGTTTACCTAAACAATTAAATTCTGTTATATCATTCACAGAAGAAAATACAGTGGTAACACAAAACATTCTTCCAAATTAAACTTTACTTACTTTTAAGTTGCTCCCTGATTTAAACAAGCTTCTCCCTTTTCATGGTCTAGAAAAGAGTCAATAATAGGCAGTTCTTAAAATTTAAACTGCAAATCTATTTTTTTTCTTCACTTTGGAACTTTGATACTACTTTCAAACTAGCTTCCCCTTTCCCGCCCTTCTCTCCTCCCCCCCAATCAATGAAACTACCTTCCTCCTTTGCACTAAAACAACAAATCTGTCACTCTCCAGGGAAAAGTGTGATAAAAGGTCTAAGTGCTGTTTCCTTGTAATTTTCACAGTGTTTTTTCTTATTTTTCCTTAAAACAAATTCTACAGAGTAGCACCCCAAAACTCACTAAGACATTTCAGCATTTATAAAAAACATTTAAACTACAATTTGGAAATTCACAATAGAGAATTATATTTCACTCACAAATTTAGTCTCTAATTAGTTTACAATGCAATAATTTTTTTAATGTCATAATTCTTATAGAATACCTCCCCCCCCCCACCCTTGGGGCACTCAGATAATCCTGAAAGACATGTATTTTTAAATGGGGATAGACTAGTGTTATCTCAGTGGTGAGTTTACAATCCAGGTAGATGCAGATTTCTAAAAGAGGATCAAAGCACATGTGACTGCCCTTTCCTATGCTTGGATTACTATATACTGTGGTCATCCCTGACAAGAGGGCTAGGATTATAACTATGAAAGGGGGGTGGGAGATCATGGGCTCACTCAAATTAACTTGGTGGTAGTGGCTAAATTCTACACAGTGATCTAGAGTAGAACAAGAAAATAGCCTTCTTACTGTTCATTACCCTTCACACTTGACATTCTATTTCCAGTCTCCATGCCTCTGTCCACAGTCTGTGTTTCTCCTTCCATATACTTAACAGAATATCTTCCTTTCTGTAAGTCTCAGATTAAGTGCCACCTCCTCCAAAAGGCCTTTCCTGATCTGTACTCCTCTGGTAGTTTAGATCTGATACTATACCTCACCTTTTAGGGAAAAATTAGCCTAACCTACATGGTGGTAGAGATCCTGGTAGATATCGATCCTATCACACTTTATATTTATTTTGTATATTTTTTATCTACTTATGTATATGTATATATACATATTGTTTCCATTGATTGAATGCAAATTCCATGAGGGCCCAATTATTTTTGTCTCTGTACACCTAGTACATCAGGGAATGCTTGCTGTGCCACATAGTAAACCTGGAACTTAATAAAAATGGTTGTTGATGGTCTGAAGTATACTGCCCAAATAGTACTGTAAGGTGAGTATATATATATCTGGAATAAAGATCTGTCTAGTGAATATGCTCCCTTCCTTCTTTATTTCTCAGAAACTCTACTTTTCTTCAAGGTTCAGTTCAAGTATTTTTATATAAGGCCTTGATTCTCTCCCACTTCCTCAGTTGCCAGTCTTCCCAATCATCTTTAATCCATTCTGGATAATTTATATATACATATATGTGTGTGTATGTGTGTGTGTGTATCTGTACACACACATACACAATTAACATTTTCAGCAAAGCTGAAAGATGTAAAATAAATACTGATGAATTATCAGTATTTCTATATGCTACAAAAAAATACAGCAGGAAGAGTAAAAAAAAATTCTATTTAAAAATTAATAATAATATTATAAAATACTTGAGATTCTATCTGCCAAAATACATAGAGGAACTTTATGAACACAGTTAAAAATATTCTTTACATAAATAAAGAT